ATATATTTTTAAATTAATCCTAAGTGTTGCCAATTTTGATTAACTATATGTTTTCGATATTATGAGCGAAAATGCTTGCCTAATGCTATTTTAGTTTACTAAGCCTTAGGACAAAATGTAGCTAGGATGAACTTGAGAATATTCTCGTTGCCTTTACTATCACGAAGACTCGGCAATTTAATTTTAAATAAATAATATTTTAACTGGCGTCAATCCGAATTGTGTTTCATACAAGAAAGCAAGGTGTTGGTTACTCGTAAATGAATTGTGCGAACGTTCTTGCCTGAAGTTTTCTCTACAGCTACAGAAAAATAGGATTTCGTAATCCTTATCTCAATTTCTCAATCTCTCCATTAAAATTAATCAACAATATAATAAATTGATGTTTGTGGTTTGTGTCCTACGAATTTTTCCAATATCAAATTTTAATGATCCCCTAGTTTAATGACCAGGAAACTAAATTAAAAAGTTGCGAATTTTGGTTTCATATGCCAGCTGGAACTTATATTTATACAAAGATTGCTTCTTATTTGGATTTTGAAGTGATAAGAACTCATGATGTTTTCTCTCTCAATTTTAAATAATCCTTAGATTACATATTAGTGCGCAGTTACAAGGCAATTATCTTAATCAGGCATGAGGTAAGCATCAAGTTACAAACAGTTGCATAAGATGTGTAAGCGATGAAATTGATGAATATGTGGCCTTTTGTGTATGATATTACGTGGGTTCGTTCTAAGGTAGCTTTGTTTGATTAGTCTCTGTGAACTGAATTTAAAAATTTCGTTGGGTTAGATACAAAATAACTTGTGATATATAAATAGAAGCTATATTGAGACTGTACAGTTAGGGCTTTTGAGTATTATTAAACTTGATTTAAAAGTTTGTGTGCGTGGAAAAGATTTATTATATAGACAAAGCTATTCTTTAATTCAGAATATATTTTTTGAAAATTTGAGAAGCAAAACTGAATTTTTTAATAATTATGTCTTTTAGAAGTTTACTACTTGCGCATTTGTTTTCTTGCCCCGTGGCCTGACGTGGTCTCAAGAGAAACTACCAAACGTGCTTTAACGCAGCGCCAAAGGTACTTGAATGAATTTTCGTGATGCTTCAGTCACTTCTGCGGTTTTCGATTGACTGTTAGAATATCAAATTGGTGAAGTGTTTGTACAGTAGGGCTACGAAGTCTACACGTAGCGAACTGAAGTAGGAAATATACACAATAGTACTTACGATATCTATACAGTAGAAACTTGTAAAAAAGGTAGACTCAATAAGTCCAAAACCATCGCCACAAATATTTCTTTGAAAATACTATCAGCTGTACAATTCTGTACTTGAAGTGACACGGTATCAAAATCAATGGTGAATACATCAATAGTGAAATCTATTTTCATTTGCCGATGTTATGGTCAGTATGGCAGAATAAAGGAAGTTTTACGTGGTAGAGTCACGCTGCAGCTATATTAGTTGTAGCACGAATGGTACGTACGTAATGATGGGTAGAACCACGCTCTCACAGAATACCAACGTAAAATAGCAGCTAAAAGCTGTTGTGTTTCGTATTGTGAGTGTAGAGAACCGCAGATACTTTTTTTACTGTAAACGAGGCATTCCATCTTAATCCTCAGGGGTGAAGACGCGTCTGATTTTTGATTCTTAATCGACAATACGTGTAGATGTGTATGAGCATACCATACGGTACTATACTTACCATAAGGTGAACTGTGTGCTCTTTTGCCGTTGGCAAAATATTGTATAAAAAAAGACATTGGCAGTATGAACGTCAACAAACAAAATAATTTGTCTAAGCGACTATATTAGTAGCATGAACGTACTCAATGCTTGTTTATTTTATTTGTAACATAATATGTCACATATAAATTTTATCTTTCTGCACTCCTTCATATAAACTTTAACAATACCTAGTCTCACACTTTTCGGTTCATGCAATTTGCTAAAAAAGGGGAACAAAGATTTCCCTTCACGTATTAATATATAGATATCATATGTGTTTCTATAATTGTAAGGAAAGTAACGATTTCTAATGTTTATGCGAACATTACACGTTGTGTGTGTGATGTGATAATATCCTAGACGGCCCACGCCATCACATCAGCTTTGTTAGACCACAAATTCTCGCAAAAGTACATCAATTCTTGCTAAGTATGACACGTGAAGCTGTTGAAATAAAATTCCATTTTCAATAGAGAAGGAGGCTGTTTACTACTACCAGCTTGGGATACTGTAATTATTAAAATTAAACCTAAACCCAAGTATACAACTGCAAGATGTCAAGACACAGTAAGTTCATTTTGCGTAGATCGGACCAAATATAATAATTAAAAAGCTGAGGAGTACCTTCAGTACCTTCTTTTTTGAGGGTTAACTCTGACATCGGACGTCAGTCACCTCAGTCCCCCGCGACCATGGGTGCTGGAAAGCACCCGAAACGTCGGGTATTACAATTAAGCAAATTAAACCCGATAAAATCCATAAAAGTAGTTTTAGTCAATGTGTAGGAAATGTAACTAAGAAAATTCACTGTTTTACAAGTACATTCACTGTTTTAGACGTCAATAATATAATAGTTGATTAATTTTTAATTTCTTTAAAGAATAGCATAATGATCAGAGTACGGCCACCGGTAGCACAGTAGTCTTGATTTAGAATCCTAATAAACACTAGTGCAATAAGACAATTTGCTGGTTACCAATCTGGTCGTTTTTGATATTCTATGTGTTTGAAACTGCAATATAGACTTTTATGAGCTTTATAATGGGATTCGGTTACGGTTAGGGCGAGTAATTGGTTCTATCTTTGTGCATACACTTTTGCAAAGCTGTTGCACATTTCATCATCATCATCATCATTACAGCCCAGATATTTTAGTCCACTAAGTTCACTAAAGAACATAGTGGGGCAGACCTTATTACTCTTTTTATTTTTACCAAAGTTATCAATGATCGGCTATGAGATGTAATCGCTATCATCATCATAACATCCGTTTACAAGTCCACTACTGAATAATATCACTTCCAAGGAAGTCTATGTGGCATACAAAACACGATCCTGAGGCACCTGCATCAACCGACTTCGTGTATTAACAGGCCGTCACTCCAACTAGCAGATGGCTGACCTACACATTTATTCATTATCGGTTATTAGTTCTTCGAGATGTTGCGCATTTGACAATCATTAATAATATTTGATGAAGTGATCGAAATTGATTAGAAGAATCGTTACCGAATAACTTGAATTAAGGATAGTACGATCATACTAAATAGGTTTTAATTTCAAATGATTTCTACATAAAATATTTAGGGAATAAAATAAAATAACATTTACGATAGAACAATTTATTTTAAATTAATACGAACGCATAGTAGAATTTAGGATATATATTTATAATATTATAATGGTATAATAACAAAACATTGACAATATAAAGCGATAACTAAGTTTATCAACATTCGATAAAGCCATAGTGATTGCAATCAAGTTATGTACAAACGGACATGCCGATTTTTAAATATTGAACGTTACAAGTTACAATTTTCAATTATTAAAGCTATAAAAACATGGCCATTGACACAACAGTCTTATCTCTAAACATATATGTATAAAATATCACCTATTGTTTCAACCACGTTAAAAAAAGAAATTATAATATAGTTTTTTCTAAAAAGTGAAAAATATAACCTAAAATCTGATGCAGATTTTGGCAGGACCTGTCTCGTTACATTTTTATGTTTCCTGAACAATTTATTCAACAAGAAAGGCAGCATGATGGGCAGATATAATTTTATTTAGATAAAAATAATAGTACAGTCATTTGGTGCTCAAAAAGGAAAAAGGAAAGTTTTCCGGCAATTTTGAAAATTATATAGATTTCGACGTGCTCTTTTTGAATTTTCACTTTGCCACCTCGTATCTTTGCCGCTCGCGCCGCCATATTGGAAAAATGGCGCTCAAATACAGTTTTTTGAGAATAACTCCGTTCCAACTCATTTTACGATAAAAATAGTAATGTAATAAATTAAACTAGAGAAAATTTCCTACAATTATATAGTAACCATTTTTTTTGTAAAGTCAATAGTTTCAGCGTACGAGAGCCGCAAACCAAGGCACGTCTACACCAACACGCGTTGTTCGTATATAGTAACGAAAAATATTTCACTACGTGTTGAAAACGCGGTCTACTACGCCCTTTAAGGTTCATCGCAGGTATAAAGGGACACGTCACCTTGGCGTCGGTCCCCCCCCCTCCGCACCATTATACGGAACATCTGCCGACCGAGCTCAAACATTCTGCCTAAATCATCAGTACAAGTTTAACGTTCTACAGTGTCCTTGTGAACTCCCGGAAAACTTTCCAGGTAAAACTACCAAATGACTGTACATACTATAATACTTTCGCAATATTTGGTCACAGATATCAATTTCTAAGTGGTTGCAACAAAAGATGTACGGCAATGAGGTTAATGCCAGTGCGAAAACTGAGAATATAGCTTTTTTGATTTGAAGTCAGTGACTGGGAAGACAGAGGAAGACTCTTTATATTGATTTTGTTATATAGTTTACAAGAAAGCTATTTCAATGGATTCATTTACATAAAAGATTATAAATTAATATAAATTCATACAGGATTAAACAGGATTATAAAAGTACAAAATGAGCAAAATTAACTGCCAAAAGGCATTAATAAAGGACACGTCTGGGCATTATTTACAAATTAGTCCACAAACGTCTATTTTATATTATTATACTTAAATTAAGAGCACGGAACTAGAAGCTTTCGCCAGGATTAGAAAAATACAGTGGTAACCTCATTGGATTAGTGCCAAGCCTTTGTTGTATAAATACGAGTACATCTAGAGTACAAAAGCAGTCTCCAGATTAAATTCGGTAACGTAGCTTAATGATATAACCTATTTGGAATTTGAAATACTAAAAGTACAACTTTTGTACTTTTTAATCATTCCTATTTTCGATGGTTAAAAATCACTTATTTCTGGATCTGTGTCGGCGTATTTACATGTGAATGGATTTCTCAGCCACGAACAGAAAGAACGGTCGCTGTGTTGTTTATATTTCGCTGTTGTATGTTTCTTTGCATGCGCTCGAGCTACGGCCGTACGACGTGTTGGATAGGAGTCGAGGGAAGATGCGTCAGAATCTCTGGGTACCGAGTCGTAGCCCGATTCAGCTCGTCTCGACGTAGCTGCAGGACTATGTTTCCCCGTTCTTGGTGTTGATTCGTGTCCACTATCGTAGCCATCAGGCTTTGAACTCGCTACTACTCTAGCAACAACTTTATCACCTTTATCACTCTTTTCTGTACGCGGTTCTGTTGTGACCACTGGCGCCGTAACTTCGAGATGTAAATTAGATTTCAAATCTCGAAATGCATTTGACGGTGCACCATTTCCGGGGACACGCTTTTCTTCTCTTAAATTAGGATCGGATGCTCCATCTGGATGTCTTAAGGAAGCGATTCTAGCGTCTGTGATATCATTCCCTCGGTACCTTTCGAATGGGCCATAGTCGTTATGTGTTACATCTAAATCTTGATATGCACAGTCATCTACAGCACTACCCGGTCTTGACATAGAACGTTTGCAACTATTACATATTTTGTCACTAGGTCGATAAGCAGGTTCACTATATACAGATCCGTCCCCATGATATTCTTCAGTATCTCGAACATTGCACAAAGATAATGATTGAAACTGTGGGGCAATTCTAGAATTAGGAACATCATTTTCATCTAATATTCTACGTGAGCCATATAATTCTGTCAACCCTAGTAGATCATCTACTCTTGATCGAGATGATTGTAAGCTTTCATGAGGATTAATATCACCTAATGGTTGTTCACTACTAAAGTTTTCAGGATAAAATCCCAATTGTCTAAGATATGATTCGTTTCTTATTTGTCTCTCTACTTCACTGTATAGTGATAGCGTATCTGTGAATGTTGAAGCTACCGTAAGATTTTCTTGACTAAGAATTCTCAGAGGATGATCATCGCAGTCTTCTTGGTCTATTTCAGGAAAAGGATTTTCCGAAAAACCCATACAAAATGCAATATCTTCCTCGGTTACTTGCAGACAACTATCCTGCATTGGAACCGGTTCTAATGGTTCTTCAACTTCAATTATTTCTAACATTTCGTCATCATCGTGGTTATGTCCTCTCATATTATGTTGCTCAATTTCTCTACTACGATTAGAAATTAATTCATCGTCCATTCTTAACCTTTCCTTATATTTAGAATCTAAGCTCTCCATTGACACTTCTCTGCTACTTAAGCTACTAGGCTGCATTAAAGGAAGTGCAGGGGGTATTTCTGCCATTTCTTCACTGTCATCGTCATCATCTGGGTCATTTTTAACTGCTGATTTTGAACTACTTGATCTTCTTGACATGTGATCAGTATATCCGACATTTTCTTCTTCTATTGCCATTCCTTTAGATCCTGCCTTTAAACCTGTTCTTATAGTTGATTCTTCTACATGTATGCGCCTGGGTGTATCTTTCAGTAATTCCATTTTATGAGGTACTTCGGAGTCATCTGATATTCTAAGACCCGGGTCTCTGTGACCAGGTTGAGTTTTATGACTAGGCGAGTTATGTCTAGATTTATGTATTTGCGAAGTTTGATTCTCAACCCACTTCCTTATCATGTTTTTCTTATGATTGTCCATATATCCATACCCTAGGCTTTCATTTCCATGTGAGCTTAATACACCAACCTGCAGAGGAATTGGGTTAGATGGTATGGGAACAGAGTCAAATTGCAAAGGGGATTTGCTTTCTTGCATAGGTCCATCGATCCATGTTTCGCGTTTTTTTACTTGTGTTTCTTGTATAATATGTCGAGCCTCGACTAACCGGGATTTGGATATTCTTGGGCCATCAATCCAATGTTCATCACTTGTATTCTTACCCTCTTCTGAAAAGGATTTTACACAGGTTTTCTTTATAGGTGTATTTTTTGAAGTAACTGAATGCACAGGAGATGATTTTGGAGTCTGGTTACTTGGCTGAAGTCCACTTTTTATAGGAGATGACTTTGGTGAAGAATGTAATTTATGAATCGGACTTTTTTCTTCTACAACTTTTGACAATGTTGATTTATGTTTCTGTTCAGCTGCAGACCCTCGTAATGCTTTACTTAAAACGCATCTGTTATCCCCCGAGTTTATGTGTGGTATATAAACAGGAGGATGTTCTCCGTCAGTTGCATCATCTATTGGGCCTACGTAAATAACTGTGTCTGCGGATAAATCACTGCTCGAAGGATCGGGTTCACTGCTGCTTGGTTTAGAAACATCTTCACCAGAACTTCCACCAGACCCAGCGTTATTATTAGATGAATATTTGATTTTTCTTCGTCGCAGTCTATGTATTCTTGATGCTAACTGGAGGGTTGTGAGAGTGTCGGAATAGTTTTGTACATTTGGTGACACATGAACAATCATTGCTGTATGACATGTTAAGGAACCAAGACACTCTTTAAGGACATGCGTTAGGTTATGATCACGATATGGTAAATGGCGTTGACCGTTAAAAATTGCTAGCAGAATATTCCCTAAACCTGATAGAGGTATTCCTCCATTAGTTTTTCCTCGTTCAGAGTTACCTAAGTCAATAAGGTGTAAGCGGCTTCGGCCTCCAGCAACTGAAAATAAAATGAAAATTGTGTGATCTTTAAAAATTCTTACAATTTCACTCGTAATTTTAAAATAATGTAAGCCCTTATAAATAATAAAATAGATGTTTCATTAACAATAAAATTTATATTTATTTATATAGTACAAGTAACAATTTACTGTATCTGTAGAATTATTTTACGTACCAGCACCTTTTCCTCCAATACTGTATTGATAAACGTGTAGAGTGTACAAGAGATGGCTATCTTTTCCTTCTTCTTTAGCTCCTCGCGTAGATAATGCTGCATCTAAATAGAATGCAGCTTTTTCAGCGCTATGCACGCGTAGTTCTGATTGATTTTGTAAATGAGTACCGAATAGTGGGTCATCGCGAAGATATACACCCGGTGATTGTTCAGTATCTGTGAACAAAATAACAGCATAATAATTAATGAATAATATCATAATTCAATGAGCTTAAAGATAAACCCTATAATTAAAGTTGTTGAATTTAATTGAACACTACTAGCTATTATTGGGAGCTTAGCGTCATAAATTTGCTTAGTATGTATTGTTATCTACCTATTTTATATCGTAATTTTGCATGCAATTTCCGCTAAATTTGTCTCGCAGCCTAATGTGTAGTTTATATAACTATGTTTATTTATGAAAATGTATAATTGTCATTATAACCTATATATTATATATATAAACTAAATATATATATATATATATATATATATATATATATATATATATATATATATATATATATATATATATATATATTCTATACAATATATATTATATATATATATATATATATATATATATATATATATATATATATATATATATATATATATATATTTTTTTTAAATATATATTATATAATATTATAAGTATATCATAAGATTAAGCTGTGACAAGCCTAACACCAACAATAGTTCCCTAACATGATTCTAACCTATACTGGTCCAACATCATCGTTAAAATGACAAGTGCCTGACTTCTAAACGAGGTATTAGCAGGAGAAATACACTCTTCCATAAACTACCAAAGCTAACACGTTAAAAAGTTAGTCATTGGACCCTGCTAATGAAAACTATATTGGGCCCAAATTTTATTACGAGTATTTCTCGCCTCCACTGTGCTATACCTATATGTGTTATTTTATTTTCTGACTAACTCGTTGGTTTTGTTGCGGTAGCAGTAAGTGCAAATGCTAATCATGTGGTGCCGGGTTCGTGCCGTTATCGCACCAAAATCAGTTTTTTTTTTCAAGAAATTCTCAGTAGCAGACTGAAATGAGAAGGTTCACGGCATTTCAACCCTATGCCTCGGAAAGCAAGAAAAGTTTTTAGTTTTGCATCCCATCGATTTTCGGCCATGTTGAATTGTCGTCTCATTGGACTAAGGTACGTGAGGGTAATATGGTCACTTATATACCCTATAAAACCAAAAACTAGCAGGAGAGCAGAGACAAAAACACAAAGTCGTGTACTATAACTGATATATTAAGAAAAGAATAGCAACAAAGCTTTGGAAATAATTCGAAAAATCAACTTAAAAAAGAACTAACTACACTGCACCATACTAAAATAGACAATTTAAATATTTACTATAGTTTCAAACGTGAAAATGGCGTCGATAAGTAAGCGCCCTTTTGACCCTTTATTATTTGATTTACTGATGAAGAGCTGTCGTATCACAGAGTCATCTATGCAAACAAAGCTGTAGTTTTTGAGTTACGTGAAAGTGGCCATATTAACCGGATGACCATATTACCCTCACGTATTATATAAGAGTGGAGAAACAGAGTAAACTTGTGCTTGCGCATACACTCGTGCTCTGTAATCCCGTCCTGCGCAGATTGCTAGTATCTGATGAGACTGGCCGCTGTGACCGAATTCGATATGAATGACATAATATTACTGTATGTACGACTGCCTCGTTCGTGTAGCATTTGTAGTCGTGCGACTGCTGATCATAAGGTCCTGGGTTCGAATCCCGGTTCGGGCCCACAACTCAATTATTGAGTTTTTCTGTCAGAAAATTCTCAGTAGCTGCCCGGAGTCAGGAAGTTGGCGGTGTCTCACCCCCGTGCCTCGGAAAGCACGTAAAGCCGTTGGTCCTGCGCCTGTACTCTCTCCGGTCGTGTCGGTTTACCGTCCCATCGGATTATGAGAGTGAGGGAATAGAGATTGCACCTGTGCTTGCGCATACACTTGGGCACTATAATCCTGTCCTGCGCCGATGGCTAGCCTCCGTTGAGGCAGGCCGCCGTGACCGAAATTCGGTCTGGAGGATATTATTATTATTACTGTATGTTATGATTGATTTAATTTTAAGCTTTCAATGAATTTATTTAATACGAGTAAATAGTATGAACTTACCGTTCTGATAAGGTGCTAGAAGATCTCGAATCTGGTTGGTATTGGTGCACAGTTCCACTGCGGAGACCCTGACAGAGAACCGAGTGCCGCATTTGTGCCGCTGTTCTGCTATGCCACGAAAAAGCCAAGTTATGGCGCAGGGTATGGCTCCCAGCGTCCCAACTGAGTCTGGTCGCCCCAGCATTGTATACGACTTGCCTGCGTACAGAAAAACATGTTTATTAATACATTTAATGTATTTGAAACCCCGGTAAGAGCTTTAATAGCGCAAAGGCTAAGTGATCATTGTAAACAGTCGCACTAAATATCTCACTAAAGAGCTGAACCATCATAGGTAAAGTCTCAGAGAGATAAAAAGGTGGGGATATAATGAATATCAAAATAAGTTAATGTAGATTATAAAACAAATAATTATTTTTAAATAATTTATTTTTATTTGTTGGAAGCCACGGCACTTAAAATAACATTTTGCTCAGTATTCACTTTAAAAATGTACTTTTTAAAGTATATTGCATTAGCAAAAAAATTCGTCAGATGAGAGATAGCTTAAATATGTACATATATGAGTAATTGCTTGCTGTTTGGTTTAGGCGTAAGCAAATACATTACAGTTGGTGTGGTAAAAGACGATTTTCGAAATCTCCCGGAAGATCTTGTGTATTTTGCATAAATTCCAAATAAATAATTAAAATGCCAGATTTAAAACATTCAGAATTGTGCCAAGTTTCCTGCAAAGGTTGAATATAAATGTAAATTTCCTCTACTGCGGTAAAAGGAAGTGACATAAAATGAGGAAGTGTGATTGATACACGTGCTTTTTAATCTGCCTAAATCAAAGAATATTCACGCCTGTTATACCTGACGGGAACATACTCGTATTGTTACTGTTTGGCTTATATTAAAGTAGGAAGCGCTAAGATAATTAAAGCGAGGTACGAATTATTCACTCAGTTGGTTCTTCAATCCCCAAAATAAGCGGGATGTTGCACTAAGCCCCGTTTCGGCAAAATTTCAACCGCTCACGCTTCGGAACTTTCATTTAGTCAGAGCTCTCATTCAATTTGCATTTAAAACCGTAATCCTCGTAGTGGGAGGTAAGTTTTGCAACGTCGGCTGAGAAGTCGCACCTTACTTTATTAACTATTAATGGCAGAAATTTATAGAAAGTTATGGCAATATTCTTGGTTAACAAAAGTCGAAATATACACTTTTGTATATGCAAGCTGGCTGGCTAACAGGCCGATGTTAACACCAACATAATACAACAACCTTTCATTTTCTGAGCAAACGTAGTTTTAGTTACTATTGTATTTTGTATAGTATTGTGTTTCGTATTGTATTGTGTATTATATTATTTTAGTTAACATACATATATAGCTACAGAATGGCACAACAATATTATGTCGGATTGATTTAGGATGGACTACCCTCTCACAGAATACCAGCGTAAAATAGAAAGTTAGGGCTGCAATTTTTGAATGGTGAGTGTAGTGAACCGGAGACCCTTTTTACTCGATAAAAGGCATTCCATCTTAGTCCTCAGAAGTGATAACGCATCAGCATTTTGTTTTTCATGAGCGTAGATGTCTATGGGCTACAATATTTAGTTATAATCATTAAAAAAAAACTACATATTATAGCAATCACTTAACGAGTTATGGAGAAAGCTATGCTAGGGGTTTTACGCGTGATAAAATGTGCGGTATTCTTTGGGGTAGATTTATCATATGCTTATAGTAGTAGCACGAATGGGTCGGCTCGGCTGGAGTAGGACCACGCTCTCACAGAATACCAGCGTAAAATAGCAGCGTAATGCTGCAGTGTTTCATATGGTGAGTGTAGAGAACAAAAGACCCTTTTACAGGAATCAAGGCATTCCATCTTAGTCCTCAGGGTGATAACGCATATGCATTTTGATTCTTAATTGAGGATAAATGTGGATGTCTATGGGCCACAGCATCCACTTTGGTGGAACACTATCAGGTGGACTGTGTGCTCGTTTGTCACCCAATGCTTGAAAAAAATATGTTCCATCTTTAGTATACCTGCATTTCCCAGTTTATATCCCCGACTCAATTTCACTAATCATTTTTCTTCGTCCTTCCAATTCAATTTTAATAAATACATTTTTCCCGCATTGTAATGATTTAATGTGCATTCGTAGAGAAGTTAAGTCCGCAAATGCGATATATGAGACCACCTCGCACCTTCAGGGTGTTTATCAAACTTTCAATTAAGAGCCGGCTTGCCTCTTTACCATTTGAATGTAAATTCCCTCCCGCCGGGAGAGGTTGGAGGAAAAGTTTCGTCGAGTAGTGCTCTAATAAATAGTGCAACGGTTCGGGCTGGAGTGAATATTTTAGCTTATGCCAGAACGCGAAATGTTTTGATTAATGCTATAAAATGTTTTAGGTCTTATTGTTTTGTGTTTATTGTTTGAATAGTAATAGTGTTAAATGCAAAATAGTTAAAATTATATGTAATTTTTGTAATAGATTATAAATAATACTTATTGAAAGTCACTCCTTGTCTAAACAGCAAAGAAACCCAGTGCGACATTAAAAAAAAGAACTGTCTATTAACGTCAATTAACAATACTAATACCTTAGATATTACAAATATTGTAGTATTCTCTAGGATCATTATAACTCGTGATTAATTTGTACTGTTTAAGTATAATTAAACTTTAATATTATAGAAACAGTTGGTCCATATTACTTCCAAAAATTATTAATTCAGTTACTAATTAAATTATATAGTAATCGAACATGTACACAACTGTTTATTGTTGAACAGATGGTAAAGGTGTGTGGCATGTCATTGAACTTTATAATAATAGGACTTTTTTCTGCCTAGAACTCAGTCCGGATTGATAATATTCTCTCACCGATTCCCGCCACAAAGTAGAATTGCAAAGTACTGACACCTGTAGCTGTGCCGGGAAACAAAGGAAGCTACTATTACTACTGGCCGTGTGGCATTTTATTCTAGTCCTCAGGTGTACATAACATATATGACATAACATAAGCACTTAGGCCTATCACCCAGAGGGGTAGGCAGAGACTACAGTCTTCCATTTGGCACGATCCTAACACACCTCTCTTGCCTCTTCCACATTAATATACCTACGCATACATGCTCGTTGGTTAATTTTGCTCCTTTTCAGTAGGTTGCCAATTTGGTCGACAAATTTTCGCCTAGGGCGTCCCTTACCTACTCTGCCGTTCGTTTCAGCAACATAAATTTGCATTGTCACTCTTTCCTCATTCATTCTTTCTACATGACCAAACCACCGAAGCATTCCTTTCTTAATCCTCGTCACAACATAATCTTGTATACCACACTCTTCTCTTATTATACAAATGCTCACCCTGTCACTCAGATTCAGCCCTAACATACTCCTTAACGACGGCATTTCTACTGCGTTTATTCTACTCTCATGCTTCTTTGCATACACAGCATTGTGAATTTCCATACGTATCTTTTTTGACACATTCTGACTTTCCACAATAGAGTGTAGAGCCCCATTTATTCTATTTCCTGCGTTCACTCGTTTCCTCAGGTATACGTGTTTTTTTTTGTATGAAGTTCGCTGCAGATGTCCTAGCCGCGTTTAGCTTATATAAGATAAGATAAACTGTTAGATTGTTTGTCACTCTAATATTGTAAAATGAAGAATCATAACATCCTCGATATTAATAAAACTATTACTTTACTATTACTATTATTTACTATTACTTTACTATTACTATTATTATTATTTATTACTATTGCCGTGTAGTGGCAGTTAAGAATATTCACTACCCCATATCTTCCCGTGGGTGTCGTAAGAGGCGACAGAGGGAAACAGGCAGGAGATGGGCAGCAGCATCTTCCTGATAACAGTAACTGTAAAGCAAAAAAAAACTGCGGTTGCCAACCCGCTCGCCAAGCTGGCAACTATGGCAATTTACCCCCCAATGAAGAATTACACAAATAGACGGCCCCATTCCCCGGCGGCCCCGCTATTCCTGGCTACGGTGGCGACCAAGGTAACGGCGGGGCAGGGGGTGCTAAGAATCTCCGGAGGAGGTTCGGTTGCCACCTACGACGACTCGACCTGGCAACATTTAACGCACGCACCCTGAGGACTGACGACAAGATCCTGGAGCTGGAAGAAGAGATAGACAAGTTGCGCTGGAATATTACAGGATTATCCGAGGTCCGAATAGAGGGGGAGGACACGGTGATTCTCGAATCCGGCAACTTGTTCTATCACCGGGAGTGCGACCATCTGTCACAAGGAGGTGTTGGATTTATCGTCCACAAGTCTCTCGTTAACAACGTTTTAAAGATTGGGAGTGTATCGACGAGGGTTGCGTACCTTATACTCAGAATCACCAAACGGTATTCGCTGAAGGTCATACAGGTTTACGCGCCAACGTCGGAACAACCCGATGAAGAGGTGGAGAAAATGTATGAGGACATTTCTAGAGTCATGCATTCCTCCAAAACTCACTATACGGTGTTAATGGGAGACTTCAACGCATAACTGGGCACAAGAAAGAACGGTGAGCTGAAGGTAGGGAAATTTGGAGTAGGGCAACGGAACCGTAGGGGCCAGAGGCTGGCCGACTTTATGGAGAAAGAGGAACTGTTTATGATGAACTCTTTCTTCCAGAAGCGGCCCCACAGGAAGTGGACCTGGTCGAGCCCCGACGGTTCGACAAAAAATGAGATTGACTTCATTATGACGACCAGACGCCAACTGTTCAGTGATGTCTCAGTGATCGCAAGGGTGAAAACTGGCAGCGATCACCGAATGGTTAGAGGCAAACTGAACCTAAACGTTAAGTTGGAGAGGTCTCGTCTAATGAAGTCAACGCTTCGTCCCCCTCGTGCTCTAATCCAGAATCCCGAAACCTTTCAGCTCAAGTTACGTAACCGCTTTCAGTGCCTAGAAGATTGCAATACCGTGGACGATATGAATGACAAGCTCGTGGAAACTGTTTATGCGGTCGGAGCTAAGTTCTGCAATACCCGCCGCAGAAGAACACAAAAACTCTCCGATCACACTATTAATCTCATGGCTGTTAGACGGCAGATGAGGCTGCAATCGTCAACAGATTTGACAGCATACAGGCAACTGAACAGACAGATCTCCAAATGCATGCGGCGAGACTTACGCAACTTTAATACTGCTCCTATTAAAGAATCGATCGAGCGGAACCAGGGCTCCAAAGTCTTGCCAGAGATCTGTCTGCCAGAAAGAGCTAACTGTCAAGGCTGAAGACTGAGTGTGGCAGCATCGTTTCCAGGACACCTGAGATTTTGAGTGAGATTGAGAGGTTCTATGGGCAGCTGTACTACACATCATCGTTGGAGCCACACGCAAGTGTGAGTAACGATCCAAGAGCAAGTCTTATCCGACACTATTCCAATGATATCCCGTACGTCAGTCTAAGCGAAATTAGAATGGCTCTCCAGCACCTTAAAAACGGCAGGGCCCCAGGTGAGGATGGAATTACAGCGGAGCTTCTGAAAGCGGGTTGAACACCGGTATTGAAGTCCTTCAGAAGCTCTTCAATTCCATCCTCCATGGTGGCACTACTCTGGAGGCGTGGAGCCGAAGTGCGGTGGTCTTGTTCTTTAAGAACAGCGACAACGCTCTCTTGAAGAACTACAGACCGATTTCCCTTCTGAGCCGCGTCTACGTGCTGTTTTCGAGAGTCATTACGAACCGTCTCGCACGCAGACTCGACGACTTCCAGCCTCCCGAACAAGCCGGTTTCCGAAAAGGCTTCAGTACCATAGACCACATACATACCCTGCGGCAGATTGTACAGAAGACCGAAGAGTACACTCTGCCACTTTGCCTGGCGTATGTGGACTATGAGAAAGCCTTTGATTCCGTCGAAATTTGGGCGAAGCTACAGTCACTTCAGCGGCTGCATTGACTGTCGGTATATCGAAGTGCTGAAGTGTTTGTACAGTAGGGCTACGATGGCTATCCGAGTACAGAACCAGAGTTCCAAAACATATCCAACTGCAGAGAGGTGTAAGACGAGTGACGTTATATCTCCGAAACTCTTCACCGCTGCATTGGAAGACGTTTTCAAGCTAATGGACTGGAAAGGATATGGTATTAACATCAATGGCGAGTATATCACTCACCTTCGATTTGCTGACGATATAGTCCTTATGGCAGAATCGCTGGAGGACCTAAACACTATGCCCAATGACCTCAATAGTGCCTCCCAACGGATAGGTCTTAAGATGAACATGTACAAAACAAAGATCATGTTTAATGTCCATGTCACACCTATGCCGGTAGTTGTTGGGAGCACTATGCTCGAAGTTGTTGACGAGTACGTTTACCTGGGACAAATAGTCCGACTAGGTAAATCCAACTTCGACCGAGAGGTCAATCGACGGATTCAACTCGGCTGGGCAGCGTTCGGGAAATTACGACACATCTTCTCGTCAGGTATACCTCAATCTCTGAAAACTAGATTGTACAACCAGTGCGTGTTGCCAGTGATGACTTAAGGATCTGAGACGTGGTCCTTTACTGCTGGCCGTATGAGGATGCTCAAGGTTGCTCAGCGATCTTTGGAGAGGGCTATGTTCGGAGTTTCTTTGCGTGATAGACTCAGAAATGAAGATATCCGCAGTAAAACCAGAGTGACTGACATAGCCCAACGGATTAGTAAGCTGAAGTGGCAATGGGCCGGCCATGTAGCTCGAAAAACCGATAACCGACGGGGTAGAAAGTTTCTCGAGTGGCAGCCTCGTACTGGTAGGTGTAGTGTAGGGCGACCCCCGACTAGATGGATTGACGACCTGGTAAGATATGCAGGAAGTCGATGGACGCAGGTGGCATTACTTGGGGGAGACCTATGTTCAGCAGTGGACTTGCGAAAGGATGTAATGATGATGATGATTACTATTACCTCGATATTAAGATACTGAACTTATATGTAGATCAAAAAAAAATTGAATATAAATATCGAAGTCAGTTCACGCGGTAAAGAATTATTTATTCGTCCATATGCCTTTGTAAATTAAAAATTTAGTTGCTTTTCTCATGGATTCAACTTTGACGGCTCCGTGGCGCAGTGGCTTAGCAATGAGTTACAGCGCTAAGGGCCGCGGGTTTGAATCCCGCACGGAACAAGTATTTGTTTGGGCTACAAATAATTGTTCCGGGTCTGGTTGTTTGTACTTGTGAAATTTATGTACGTAAACTGCCCCCATGATACAGGGGAAAATCTTAGTGTGCAGGTAACGTTTTTATAAAAAAAATCCATCAAATCTTGACCCATTCTCTATAGGACTACCCCGAGGTGTCTCCGTACGAACAATACAAGAATCAATGAAATTGCACAACGCAGTCAAGAATTATCAATGAACGTAATTGAGAATCTCCTTTCCTTGAGTCTTTTTTGAAATTGGTTGAAAATATTAGGTATTTACCTATGAAACTATCGTTTTAACGAAATAAGTTATTGTATTTTTTATATTTGTTATTTCTATTAATCAAAGTAATCACCCATGCAATCGATGCATCTTTGATAACGCAGTGGCAGTTTATTGATGCCCTTCTTGAAGAAATCAGCTGAAAGGGAGCTAAAAAAATTTCAAAGGCTTTTGTACTGCCTTTCGGGTTTTGAATTTTTTCGGCAAAAATATCCACATTCTGGTAAAAGTAGAAGCCTGTAGGCGCAAGGTCTGGTAAGTATGGCGGATAACGGGGAGCTTCAAACCTCATCTCTTGAAACTTGGAGACCATCTGCTGTGCAGTATAAGGTCGCGCTTTATCATGCAGGAACAGCGGACACGAGCGATTGACCATTATGTTCAGTTCTTCACACTACACATCTACAGTAAAGCTCATCCCATTTCTTAAGAAGCTGGGATGAATCACGCCGGCGCTAGACCAACAAACAATGACCATCACATTTCTATGGGTAAGTTTTCGTTTAGGACATTGTTTAGGTGCTAAACGAGGATCCAACCAACTTGCTGAGCGCTTGCGATTGTCAAACAGTATCCCTTTCTCGTCGCAGGTAACAATGCGGTTCAAAATACCTTCGTTTATGTGCCTGTTGAGCAAGGCACGTCTCAACGTGTACTTCGTGCTGGCTATTATTGAGTTCGTGGGTCATTTATCAAAATATTGTACCTTGCCAATTTGACGCAAATGGACCAATATTGTTTAGATGTTAATTTCGAAAATTTTTACTAATTCAGCCGTAGATTGAGTATCATCAGCTTCCACCATTGGCTTTAATTCGTCATTGTCGACCAAAGTTTTCGGATGACCACGGGGTTCATTTTCCAGATCAACATTTCAGAATAGAAGCGGACAAACTAATAACAGGTGGTGCGTTCGTGTGTAGTATTCGCTACGTAAACATTGTTGATGTTACGTGCCGCTTGTGCCGCGTTGCTGCCATGTAGGTACTCATATGCCAAAATTACTTCAATTTTCAACGTATCCATGATGACGAAAACATTAATATATGATGAAAACATAACGCTAATCAATAAAAAAGACTCATTTTGAAAAAAGACAAAACAGACAATTTACCGGTCTCACCACTTAGCACAAATATTAAGGCTAATGGAAATATTTCAGTTGTAAGGTTAAGAGGGAAAGTCTATTAGAAATGTGTAACCATAGAATACTATAATACATATATAATAGAACGGGAGAGTGGGCGGAGCCCGTGTAGCCACTAACATGTCACTAATATGTCAATTCATACGTATGAATGTCAACAAAATCGTTTCCAATGTTCGTGTCAAGCGTCACTGCATGCAAATTATTACAAAAATTGCAAATTTTGTAATAATTACGTGTCGAAAGAACAGCGAGAAATGGAATATATATAAAGGAGACATAACCTACTACCAGTAAGTCGAAACTATTTATATTATGCGAATATTATAAACAAAAATAAAGAAAATTTTATGTGTCAAAACATTAATCAAAAGTCTACAATGTGTGTGTAGTAGTGATAACTGATAATACGACGTAATTGCTTGTGTGTGTGCTCCCAGCGACACGGATCCTCGTACACAATAAGGTTGACAGCCATTCTATTGTGTATTATAGTATTCAATGTGTGTTACTATAGAAATTGAAATAAGTTAAGCAGAAGATATTTTATTCGGCTGAGGTTGGGTCATTAGTCTAAAATTCAGAGTGTATGAACAGTAGAATTCCTTAATTCTGAGTTTCGAATAATTTATTTATCGGTAACTTCAAGAGCCATGTGAATAAAATTTTGTATGTGGAGGAGACCTACTGTAGCGTATTATGAATGCAGCACAAATCGATCCGTCAGAGAAAGACCACACTCGTATAAAATATCATCGTGAAATACGAGCATAATATAATAGTGCTATGTTTTGTATGGTGAGTCACAAGAACCGGAGACTCTTTCTATTGGTAACGAGCTAACGAGGTGTTCTTAGTATTTAGTGACACCGCTTACTTAATTTCATATTTATTTTGATTCATTTACCGTGAGGTGTACTGTGTATTTGCTTGTCACATTTACTTCCATAAAAAGATAGTAAAATACAGCTTACCTAGTCCTGCATGTCCGAAGCAGAAGAGGCAACCGTCGGTGCCGTTGATGACGGCATGGATGACATCAGTCAGCGCGCTCGAACAAATCTCCGTCTGTAACAACAGGAAATACACACAGCTGATGATTTAATGGAATTTAAATTATGAAAACAGTGTGTGACAGACTTAACACATGCAATACAATAATATAAATTAACGCAGTAAACCAATGTTTTGTATTATAAATCAATGTTAATACGATAAAATTTCACTGTAAATTAAGAAATAAAATCCGGTTCCATTTAATTCCTTTACAACCAATAAAAGTCCACTGATGAAAATAGACCTCTCCCGTAGATTTGCCACTAAAATACATACAATACTTCATCAAAATCGTTAGCCATTTTCGAGTTTCAGCGACATAAACAGACAGCAATAGATTTTTATATATAAGAAGGAAATTGATAGAATCAGGCGTTACTTTGCGGAAGCCCATTGTAATAATGATATTAATAGTTACTTTGCAACCATCCTCTTAATTAAATACAATGATGTGTCTTATCTAGAGATCTCCCGCCCTCCCAGAATTGCGTGCACTAATCCCGTCACCACCAATCCCAGCACCACTACTCTTAACACCACTATTCTAGGAAAGACACACTATCGACGATAATACGACACGTGTTTCGCCTCTACACGAGGCATCTTCAGGTGATGTTGACTCTACGGCAGCTGACAGCTAAAACTTTAACCGAGTAGCGGCGTTGGGAGTTGTGGTGCTGGGATTGGTGGTAACGGGATTAGTGCACGCAATTGAAGGAGGGCGGGAGGTACTCTTCAAACTAGGGAAGACACATCATTTTATTTAATTTATCGGATGGTTGCAAAATAACTATCAATATCTTTATTATAAGAAGAAGACAAGAAAGAGAGAAGATAATTCTGTATACATTTAACATTAATCATGAATTGTCTTTTTTTCTTCAATAGGCTTAACTAAATGAAATTATATAATCTTGGATTTATTTTGGCTGGATTAGACATTGTTCCATATACATAATATGTTCCGCCTCAATCCTAGGCATCCGGTTAGCGTTACAGCCTATTAAAGTCCACTGCTAAACATAGGCCTACTTCGTGTAGATTCTTGCCATAGTTGCCACGCTTGACAAGTGGGTTGGAAACTGCAGGTTTTTAGTTTTAAATGTTATTAAGAAGACACTGCTGCCTATCTCCTGCTTTCATCCGAAGTGTGCAAATGTTTAATTTTCTTAATTGCTCTTAGTTACCACAACGCTTGCCCACTTGCTACCACATTCAATATGAAATTCGTAGTATTGAATACCAAAAAATGTGATTATCAATACAATTTTATGAAATAATTTTTTCAAATCCGGTTTTTTTTTTACAAATTTCGTTTTACAAAGCTATGCCACGTTCTACTATTAACTTTTCAATTTCAAACAAGTCAATAAATCGACAGATTTTCATGTAAAATTCTCAAAGTAAGCATAACGCTATGAATAATTCAAGCTAAACTGCTACTTACATCGTGCTCGGCGCTAAGCTGAACTAAGCTAGACTCGGTCGTGTTTTCTTTCGCAAGGATTCCCAGATAATTAAACGGACTTAAGGTACGCTCGAAGGATTAAACCGCTCTGAGGCAACAAGTTTATTGGTCGATGTAGGACATGACCGAGAAATTAGTGTAAAACTTTGTCGGCCTTATTACAAAAAGTAGTTTAAATTTGTTTCAGGTTTAATTTAGAATCTGACACGAACGAAGTCTCGCAGAATTATGTGAACTAAAACGTTAAGTATGGACAGCAAATGTCAAATGTCGCGAAGATTGTGGTGCCGCGGCGAAGGTACTTCTTATTTATTTATTTTATTCATTAATTATTTAACACATCTATCCTTACAGGTCGAACCTAATGCGATAGTGTCCTATTATTCATTTTGGGCTAAATCTTACACACATCAATAACCATTAAATTTATCTAGCTAAACAAAGTAATAAAAACCATATTATAAACGTAATGCGGTATAAATTTAAAATTATACAAAAACAGTCATTTAGTTAGAATGACTTTTGTTCAACTATGGCTTAGGCCCAAGGCTGGCAATAAACCACATTTTGTGATAAGAATAAGACGGTGTTAGAGGCTTCATTATACACTGGTTTCTTATACGGTTGCGTACGTTAACTGGAGACAAGTATTGAGTCACCTCTCCAGAGGAATTTTCTTTTACGAATTACATAAAAAGAAGCAAACTATTAAAATTGTTTCGTAAGGGAGAAAACCTGAAAATTATGTATCCACTACTGAATGCCTGACAATGTAAGCATGAATGGAGATACGAAAGAAAGCACGTACGACTGGTGCATTAGGAGAAAATATTACCTACGTATATATATCATTTCCTGCTTCCCCATTCCTTCTCCGATCAAGCCGACTTATTCGTTTGCAGCCATAATATAGCTACAGTGTGGTCTCTTATAATACAATAAGCCTAATTTCATCCAAAAGAAATTTACGTAATTGAAAACATAATTTTCTCCCAATTATGTTTTATTAATAACAACTTATTACTGCTTACTTGCCTTTACAAATCATTTGTTTTTATAGTTACATATAATACACAATGCGTAATTTATTATCGTCAATATTATTTAAAATTTGTAGACACCCTACTAAGGATACGACTAGCTTGTAAGGAAATATTGAAATAATTTTAAATGAGCGTTTTGATGAGAGCTCTTTGTTACTTAATTGAAAATACTCAGATATGAGGTTAAAGAAGTTAATTAAATTAATGAATTTACTTTGAAGATTAACAAAAACATAATGAAGAAGAGAATGAACATAATATTATTTTATGATTAGTTTGGGAAGAATGTTGACTGGTTGTTTGAATTCATTTTTGCTTTATTTTTTATTTTTATCAACTTAAGTTCTTGGGCGTCTTATGTAACAATAACTTAGGTAATTCCTGAATCAAAACAACCATATACATAAATTCTAATCAGGGTTTTGTACTGGCTAAAACACTGTCACTGTCATTAAAATCATACACGTCATTCGGGCAGGGATCGAGAATCGACAAGTTACTATTCTTACTCTTCTTGATTAAAAAAGCAGTCGGTTTTGACATACTTCTAGCTGCGATCCGCTTAGTTACTAGCTAGCTTGGAGCTATTCTTCATGGTGTTGTGTCTAATGGACAGGACGAATAAAACATTTGGCTTAAAGAAATGGAACATGTAAGCTAGAAAATATTTGCAGCTTGTGAAAGTCTGACGGGACTCTGAAATTTCCTGGACATTCCTGCGAAAATCGTGTTAACAGATTGTAACACTGATGATTCGGTTGTCCATCCGCCTGCTAAGCGTGGCAACAAGGGCGAAACCCTCCTGGTGAAGCACCCCGTGGCACCCCATGGGAGAGACCTATGTTCAGCAGAGGATTTTATAGGCTGTAAAGGATGATTTCATTTTGTTGCCTATTTTAGACAATATTGATATATGCTACTGTTGACATTATTTTGAAATCAATTCAAGTGACTCCCAATTTGAATGGAATGCCATATTTTCTCTCTTCTTTTTGCGTACTGCTTAATCCAAAATTATTAAGATACCTAATAATTTGCGTTCAGCTTGACTTTGAAACTTTACGTCATTTCGCAATAAGGTATTTACTTCGCAAACAACTCGAATTCATTACCGCTTAACATTTAACAAGGACAATCTTTACATATTTAAAAAAAATACTTCATATCTTCATTAATACTTGGTTTTAATGTATAAATTTAATTTAGTAATAATTAGTTCTTTTTTAAATAAATTTAGTATTACAAGTTGCACCTATCCGTTAAAATACAAATTAATTAAAAAAATTACCTAAATAAACTAAAAATTACTTTTAAGTGTCATGGTCGGTTTGTCACTTAGAAATTGCTTAAATGACCACCGTTTGCAGTCGTTTAATTTTCCGTTATTATAATTATTTCGGATTTAAATGCAATAAATAGTTATCTATGTAAACTTTACAAGATATGACGTAGTGGATACGTTTACGCCTCTAATGCAGCGGCATTATCGTGTATGTCGTAAGCGGCGCCAGAGGGAAATCGAAACCGGAAATAGGCAGACGATGCTGCATCTTCACGATAACAACTTAAAATATTAAAAGCTGCGGTTTTAAATGCGTTTTTCAAACGTTATCGATGTTAATGATTCGTTACATAAGTTGTTTATATTTACTGCTCCGAGCCAAAATTACCGTTACCGTTATCATCATCATCATCATTACAGCCCTTCACAAGTCCACTGCTGAACATAGGCCTCCCCCAAGTAACGCCACAAAGCACGGTCCTGAGCCACCTACATCCATCGACTTCCTGCATGTCTTACCAGGTCGTCACTCCATCTAGTGGGGGTCGCCCTACACTACGCCTACCGGTACGAGGCTGCCACTCGAGAACCTTTCTTCCCCATCGGTTATCAGTTCTTCGAGCTATATGGCCGGCCCATTGCCACTTCAGCTTACTAATCCGTTGGGCTATATCGGTAACTCTGGTTTTACTGCGGATATCCTCATTTCTGAGTCTATCACGCAGAGAAACTCCGAGCAAAGCACTCTCCATAGCTCGCTGAGCGACCTTGAGCGTCCTCATACGCCCAGCAGTGAAGGACCACGTCTCTGATCCGTAAGTCATCACTGGCACCACGCACTGGTTGTACACTTTAGTTTTCAGAGATTGAGGTATACCTGACGAGAAGATGTGTCGTAATTTCCCGAACGCTGCCCAGCCGAGTTGAATCCGTCGATTGACCTCTCGGTCGAAGTTGGACTTACCTAGTCAGACTATTTGTCCCAGGTAAACGTACTCGTCAACAACTTCGAGCATAGTGCTCCCAACAACTACCGGCATAGGTGAGACATGGACATTAAACATCTTTGTTTTGTCCATGTTCATCTTAAGACCTATCCGTTGGGAGACACCATTGAGGTCGTTACCGTTATACTTTTTGCATTTACAATAGTATTCTATGGATACACTCTATCAAAAGTTCACCGCTAAATATATATATATATATATATATATATAAA